CTCGGCCTCCCAAAGTGCTGGGATTACAGGCTTGAGCCACCGCGCCCGGCTATTTTTATGTTTTTTAAGACGGCGTTTCACTATGTTGGTCAGGCTGGTCTTGAACTCCCGACCTCAGGTGATCCGCCCGCCTTGGCCTCCAAAGTGCTTGGATTACAGGCGTGAGCCACCACGCCCGGCCTATTTTATTTTTTTGAAGTGGAGTCTTGCTCCCACTGGGCAGGCTGGAGTGCACTGGCATGATCTCAGCTCACTGCGACCTCCACCTCCAGGGTTCAAGCCATTCTCCTTTTTCAGTTTCCCAAGTAGCTGGGATTACAGGATACGCCACTAGGCCCAGCTAATTTTTGTATTTTTAGTAGAGACAGGGTTTCACCATGTTGGCCAGGCTAGTCTTGAACTCCTGAGCCCAGGTGATCCTCCAGCCTCAGCCTCCCAAAGTGCTAGGATAGGTGTGAGCCACCGCGCAGTGGCTGAAATTGCTCTTTTTAAGACATCTCTTTTGGGTTGGGCATGGTGGCTCATGCCTGTAATCCCAGCACTTTGGGAAACCAACGCAGGTGGATCACCTGAGGTCAGGAGTTCAAAGCCTCATCTCTTTTAAAAATACAAAAATTAGCCAGGCATGGTGGTGGGCACCTGTAATCCCAGCTACTGAGGAGGCTGAGACAGGAGAATCACTTGAACCTGGGAGGCGGAGGTTGCGGTGAGCCGAGAACTTGCCATTGCACTCCAGCCTGAGGAACAAGAATGAAACTGTCTCGAAACAAAACATCTTTTTTTCGAGACATGGTCTCGCTCTGTCGCTCAGGTTAGAGTGCAGTGGCTCAATCTCAGCTCACTTTGGCCTCTGCCTCCCAGACTCACACAATCTTCCTGCTTCAGTCTCCATGGGCCTATAGGTTCACACCACTGTGCGCGGCTGTTTTGCATTTTTAGTAGAGACGCGATTTTGCCATGTTGCCCAGGCTGATCTCAAACTCCTCAGCTCAAGTGATCCGTCTGCCTCAGCCTCCCAAAGTGCTGGGATTACAGGCGTGAGCCACCACGCCTGGCCCCAACGACTCAATTCTAATTCACTTATCTCACCCCGGCCCATTAGACATCTAGGGAACCGGCCCCGCCCTTACCAATAGCAAACTCCACGAGGGTCTCATTCTCCTCCGACAGCGAATCAAGAAATAAATCCAGGACCTGCAGCTGCCGCAGATACTCGTAGTTGTTGGGGTCATAAGCGAAGTTGGCGAGGTTGGCGAGGACTTGCTCCTTGGCGTCTGCAACGGGAAAGCGGCACTGGAGCCAGGTCCGAGCGGCGGCCACAGCAGACCCTGCCCCCTGGCCCCACCGTGGCTCTCACCTTGGCTCTGGGTCTCCTGGAATTCTGTGACCAGCGCCTGCAGGAATCCCAGCCGCCCGACGTGGGGGTCCACCTTCGGCTTCTGGGCCATGGCCGGTGTGGCCGAGGACCCCCAGGGACGGGCAGGAGGGTGGGAAAGGTGCAGGGGGAAAGCCGAGCGAGACCTTCACCTGCCCTCCACCTGTGTGGAGAGGGAAGACGCGGGGCGGCAAACGGGTTTCTTTCCAGGGCTCAGATTCTACAGTAATTTGAAGCTGGAAATGGGATGTGGGAGATGGGGCGGGGGTCTCAGAATCCTGTAGGAGTTGGGTTTGAAAATCGAAATTGGGGCGCGGGAGACGAGGAACAGTCTGCGAGTTGGAGCTTGCGGAGGGGACACCAGCGCCGGAACCCCGGCTACGGGGCTCTATTCCGAACCCCCAGCGGAAGCCGCGCTGTCTCCGCCCTTAATGAGGCGGAAGGGGCGGGGCCGAGGCGGAGGGGGCGGGGCCTGGGCGGGGTCGTCGGCGAACTCCCTGGCGCGCGTACTCTGCGTGGTTACGTTTTTTCTGGAGGCGGCAGCCCTTCATCCTGGGGTGCAGCCCGCTACGAGCGGCTTCGCTGAGACAGGTGCGGGTGTGGGTGGGTTTACTGCGAGGAGCAGCCTGGTTTCCCATATCTCGTTTCCAGCTGCAAATTACTGCAAAATCTGAACGCAAGAAAGAAACCCACTTGCTGCCCCGGCCGATGGGAGGGCGGGTGAGGGCCTCGCTCAGCTTTCCCGCCCCACCTTTCCTACTCTCCTGCCGATTCCCCGGGGTCCTCCACCGCCCCGACGTGGCCTAGAAGGTGAGACGCCCACGTCGGGCGACTGGAATTCCGCGAGGAGCAGCAGAGTCTGCCAGAACCCATGTGGCAGGACGTCAAGGCAGAAGCACCTCCAGGGCCCCCACGGCTGGCGGGGGCGGGGCCCAGCCTCCTTGACCAGGAAGGCCCTTAGGAGCGCGGGCATCAGCTCTCTGCGCCCCCCATTGGTCCTTTGCCCCTTTTGCAAAAAGCCTGGCGACCCCGATACGCCCTCCATCCCAGCCCCGAGGTGGATTCGCCACCTCTGGACAGAAATCAAGGGGACTGGGTTATGTCCTGGGGCTTTTCGTCAGTCGGGTGGACGGCGCGCGCCTGGGGCAGCACCGGGGAGCCGGAGAAGGAGCCTTGGATGTGGCGCTTTCAGGGCTTTCTGGATGCTGAAGCCCTTCGGCCGGTTCCCTCTCGGGGATTTTCAGGAAGCGGATGTGTGCTGGATTACTAGTGGTCACAGGGAACAAAGCACCAGGGAAGGAGGTGGCCTTGCCACACTCCAATCGTGTTGGACAATGTGGTATAGGTGGCTTAGGCTGTGCATGTCCTGAGAGTACAAAAGTGGAGTCACTTGCATTAAAAAACAAACAAAACCCCGACAGAGTCCAAGAAACCCACGACGAGAGAGTTCTCATGCATAAATATCTGATAATCAAAACTATCACAAAGACTGCAAAAACCACCACGTTGCATAAAGGCCATCACAAACTTGCACAAAACATACTTCTGCACGGTCATCTGCCCAACAACTGCCCGTCCAACCTTGAACTGGTCACTCTTGTTATGAATCCTTCTACCTAGCGATAATTATCTCAAAACAGGTAATCCTAATTTTTCCCTTAAAGCCTTTGTCTTCCTTTACCTCCCTGAATACCCATATGGTTTACTATGCCATGCATATTACCACTGCAATGCCCTATGCCCAAAGAGATGGCATTTTCTTTGAGAGAGCCTCTCTGTTATTTAGGATGACAAAGGCAAGGACCATACCTGAAGTCCTGGGCCTGGATGAAGGCAGAGTGGCTGTCACAGTCCAGCCAGCTGCGGCCCCATTGGAAGCAGGCCCTACCTCTGAGGCTTCCGGTCCTTGCCATCAGCCCCTGCCCTATGCACCGCACACCCTTGGAGGCAGGAGTTTCAACGTTAGTCTGGGGGCCTACCTTAGTCTGGGTGCTTAGGCCCCAGGACCCTCCCCAAAGCTCCTTGGTGTCTGTTGGGAGCCTCTGCAGCCTGGGAAGTACATCTTACCCCAAGGTGCCCAAGCAGTTTCTCTGCCTCTTGCTGGACCCAGCAGCAAAGGGGAGCCCATGAACGGAGGCAAGGATGGAAATAAGTTCCATTCCTCCCTGCCCAGGAATTGCCCCAGACCTTCTCTAGAGGTTCGCAGGCAATCAGCTAAGTGGGGACTGCAGAATCAGATGTGCCACCCCCATCCTCCTCCCTCATTGGTCTTCTCCCTTCTTAAGGCCTCTGGGAGGGGTCTTCCTTGGGGTAGAATTCTCAGCCGTTGGTAGGTCTTACCTCTGCTTAGTTTCTTGCGCACAGTAGATATTTAATAAATATTTATTGAAGGAATTCTGCCCAGAGATGATTGCCACTCTTGCCTAGGAGCAGGTGAGGTCAGTTTCCTATGCAGAACATTCAGTGATAGCCTTTTTGTTTTTGGCAGGGGGACAAGGTCTCATCACTCATGCTGGAGTGCAGTGGTGTGATCACAGCTCACTGTGACCTTGAACTTCTTGGCTCAAGGGATCCTCCTACCTCTGCCTCCTGAGTAGCTTGGACTACAGGTCTGTGCCACCATGTCCAGTGAATTTTCAAACTTTTTGTAGAGATGCAGGTTTCCTTATGTTGCCCAGGCTGGCCTCTCAAGTGATCTCCCATCTTGGCCTTCCAAAGTGTTGGGATTATAGGCATGATTCACCATACTCAGCTTTTCCCCCACTTTCCTTAATTTTTTTGTAGAGATGGGGTCTCTATGTTCCCTAGGCTGGTCTTCAAGTCCTGGTCTCAAGCCATCCTCCTGCCCTGGCCTCCCAAAACGTTTTTATTGTTGTTGTTGTTTTTTTTTTGAGACAGTCTCATTCTGTCACCCTGGCTGAAATACGGTGGCATGATCCCAGCTCACTGCAACTTCTGCCTCTTGGGTTCAAGCAATTCTCCTGCCTCAGCCTCCCAAGTAGCTGGGATTATAGGTGCCTGCCGTCACACCTGGCTAATTTTTGTATTTTTAGTAGAGTCGTGGTTTTGCCATCTTGAACTCCTGACCTCAAGTGATCCACCCACCTCGGCCTCCCAAAGTGCTGAGATTACAGGTGTGAGCCACCGTGCCTGGACTTGTTTTTCTTTTTTTTTTGATATGAAGTCTCGCTTCGCTGTGTCGCCAGGTTGGAGTGCAGTGGCGCTATCTCAGCTCACTGCAACCTCCACCTCCCAGGTTCAAGTGATTCTGCTGCCTCAGCCTCCCGAGTAGCTGGGATTACATGTGCACATTACCATCTCCAGCTGATATCTGTTTTAAATGTTTTCAGGAAGTGGGCCCTTTACGGGATGCACTCAAAACCTGGTGGATACTAGCACCAAACTTCCTCCTTTCCCATTCCATTGAGATGGAGGAGACAGGACCTGGAGAAGCACACGCAAGCATTCTCCCTTCAGAGCACGTGTTATTGATGGCAGACAAGTGTAAGACTGGGTGGGGAGCCAGAAGGCAATGGGGTCTTCAGGATAATCACCGAGTCAGACTTTTCAACTGAAAGAGACAAGCTCATCCAGGCGAACCTCCTATGTTTTCTTTTTTTAAATTAAATTAAATTTTATTATTTTGCCATAACAAAGTAACCTCCTACTTTTCCAAGGCTCAGAGGTGGTCAACAATTTGCCCAAAATCACATGGCAGATAGTGGTGGAGTCAAACACACTCAGGGCTATTCCCGCCCAAGCCCTTTGCTTTGCCTGCAGTACCGCCTTTGGCCACAAGAGACACTCATGGCTGCTCCTGGAGGAAGCAGGACATCCCCAAGGATACTTATTCACACCAGCTGGACATGGGGGACGAGAAGACTGGAACCAGCTCATGAAAATAAAATCTCCTGATAAGGTTTTCTTGCCAGAGCCTGGTTAAGCCTGAATCAACAAACAACATCCTGAACCTGAGCACCCCTTACTGAGGGGGGAGGAAAGGAAGGGGGTTGGGGAAAACTCCAGCCCTGTTTTCCAGCTTTATTAGTTCACAGAGTTTATGACCTGCTGCAGGGAACATTTTTGTGTATAATTCAAACACATTCTGTTTTCTCATTCCCTCGGTACCCTGCTGGGACAAGAGTGGGCTGATGAAAGCTAACCCCTGGGTGGTGATTTTGGGGAAAGGCACCAGCAAAATGTGTGTTGGGGGAGCTCAGACCTCCATGTCAAAGGCACAGGTGTACAGGGAGCAGGGGTGAACTGGCAGCTGGATCAGCCAGCCACTTACCCCAGGGTTGACACCTCTAACACAGCAGGGGGAAAGGGGGGCCTCCGGAGGACAGGATTGGGGAGTAGAAGAACTTCTCTTGCAGAAGCAGTTCCATTTTCACAGCGGTCTTCGGGCTGCCTGGCAAGCCCTCCTCTCCCCTGGTCAAATGTCTGGCTTCCCCCACCCAGCAATAATCCTCCCCACCAAGGAGACAGGGTGGGGAAAGGAAGGAGGAAGTCCCTAGATAGAGTAGGTCCTGCTGAGACTGCAGGGCGGGCCCTCAGACTTCACCGATTCTGGGATCCAAACCAAGGTCTCAGCTCCTGGTAGAGTCCCAGCTTGCACAGCCTTGACAGCCCGAGTTTCCTGGGCTGCTCTTCACCAGAGCACCTGGTCAAGGAGCTGGAGGTCCCCCTCCTGGGCTGAGACTCTTCACTCAGTAACCTCAGGACTCAGACATTGGTCACATAGGTGACCCCTGGGTCTTAGACGCTGGTCACATACATGATCTCAGGGCACCATTGCTTCCCAGAACCGTCTTTGCCTTCCAAGAAAAGATCCTGCTCTAAGGCATCTGTCGCGACAGCCTGCTTGCCTTGCTGCTCCTTCTTCTGCAGGGAATAGAAGCTACTGCCCATGAAGAGGGCAGCTGAGATGAGGAAGAAGCTGGACATGTAGAAAACATAGCTGAAGTTGTTGGTGCTGTCCAGGAGGAGCCCTAGCAGATAGAGATCAAGTTAGGCCAGTGCTACCAGGCCTCCCCCCAACCAAACTGTGTGTTCCTGACAGCGGGGATTTTATTTTTGTCTCTGCTGTACCAGGAATTGTGGCTGACACCCAGTAGACATGCAACAGATACTTGTTGAATGAAAGGAGGGGAAGAAACACTAAACCCTTCTGGCCTGGGCAGGAAGAGTCCTCAGGCTGCAAGATAACTCAGGGACATGACCTGTTGACCCTTGGTGGCAGGGAACTAGTGGAATCTTTGCTCAGCACCCTCCAGATCTCTCCTATGCCTCCTTCTGGAGAGCTCTCCCAACTTGTTTGCTTAAAGAATTCCTGGCCAGGCGTGGTGGCTCACGCCTGTAATCCAAGCACTTTGGAGGCCAAGGGGGGTGGATCACCTGAGGTTGGGAGTTCAAGAACAGCCTGACCAACACGGTGAAACCCCATCTTTATTTAAAAAAAAAAAAAAATTATTTAAAAAAAGGAAAAAGAATTCCCTTGTGGCCAGGCACAGTGGCTCACACCTATAATCCCAGCACTTTGGGAGGCTGAGGTGGGTGGATCACAAAGTCAGGAGTTCAAGACCAGCCTGGCCAAGATGATGAAACCCTGTCTCTACTAAAACTGTAAAAATTAGCCAGGCGCGATGGTAGGCGCCTGTAATCCTAGCTACTCGGGAGGCTGAGGCAGGAGAATCACTTGAACTCCGGGCAACAGCAATTGCAGTGAGCTGAGATCACACCACTGCACTCCAGCCTGGGCCATAGAGTGAGACTCCATCTCAAAAAAAAAGAAAAGAAAAAAATTCCCTTGGATGCACCGGGCACAGTGGCTCACGCCTGTAATCCCAGCACCTTGGGAGGCCATGAGGTGGGCGAATCATGAGGTCAGGAGATTGAGACCATCCTGGCTAACGTGGTGAAACCCCATCTCTACTAAAAATACAACAAAATTAGTCAGGCATGGTGGCACACACTTGTAGTCCCAGCTACTCAGGGGGCTGATGCAGGAGAATCACTTGAACCTGGGAGGCGGAGGTTGCAGTGAGCCGAGATTGTGCCACTGCACTCCAGCCTGGGTGACAGAGTGAGACTCCACGTCTAAAAAAAAAAAAAAAAAGGAAAAAGGAGGTACAGGGACGATGATGGAGGACTGAGGTCTGGTACACAAAGCCATGCTTTCAGCTGTTCCTACCCTGAATGCCAGGTGGAAAACCGGCTGCAGCACACACCCTGGAGATGCTGGACTGGACCCAGAGCTGTCTAGTCTGTTCCCCTTTTACCATACTGCCTGGCTGCCCTCCTTCCCAGCTCCTCACCGGCCAGTGGCGGGGAGATGAGGAAAGCAAGTCCATCCAGGACGGTGAAGAGTCCCAGGGCGCTAGGGAAGCGATCCATGGGGACGATGTCCATGAGGACCTGGAAGACGAGGGCGCCGATGCCACTCATGGACACGCTGTACACCAGGCAGTAGCCCACAAGCACCCAGAAGTCGGCTGATGCCGCACACACCAGATTAGTGAGCCCGTTGAGCAGGACTGCCAGGCTGAACAGGTACTTGCGGTGGCTGGCAAAGGCCCGCCGTCCTGCCACCAGCCCGGCTAGGGGCCGCAGGAAGATGTTGCTGAAGCCAATGATGGAAATGAGAAGGGCTGCCTGCTGCTCGTCCACTCTGTGCCGCATGGCATATGGCACCAGGAAGACATGTGGCAGTGGGAAGCCCAGGATTGACCACATCACGCCCAGCGTGTACACACGGTAGCCTGTGTTGTGCCGCAGGATGTCAAAGGCCAGGTGGCGCTGGATGGTCTGGCCACAGGCAGCCAGGCAGCCGAGCACAGGTGTCTTGGGAGGTGGCGGGGGACATTCTTTGGTCTCAGGGGCCACGCTGGTGGCCACAGGCCTCATGACGGCCCCGCAGATGCAGCAGTGGAGAAAGACTCCACCAAAGACAAGGAAGGTACCCCTCCAGCCCAGATCCTCCAGGAGGTAGCGGGAGAGCAGCGGCCAGAGCGTGATGCCCAGGGAGACGCCCATAGATGCCAGTGCGTTGGCCAGCACCCGTCGGCGGACAAAGTAGAAGCCCAGCACCGTGATGCTCGACTGGAAGCTGAAGCACATGCCCAGGCCTGCGGGGCAAGAGGGAAGACCAGCCTGGAGGCATGCTGGGGGGGCCTTCCACCTGTACCCAGGGGTGGTGTCGGCCCATTCCACACACCTGCCCTCCTCTGATTCTAGTCCATACCCAGGTCTAAGTCCCCGGGGACTGAAGATGGAGTTAGCTGGCCTCACCACCTCCCTGTAAGCACCCCTTCCCAGATCTGCCCTCCCAAGGCTGCCAGGGCATTCCTGTTCCCCTTGGTGTAGCACAAGAGTTATCTTTTAAAAACCCAAATTGGGCTGGGCGCCGTGGCTCACTCCTGTAATCACAGCATTATGGGAGGCTGGGGCTGGTGGATCACTTGAGCTCAGGAGTTTGAGACCAGCCTGGCCAACATAGTGAAACCCCCTCTCTACTAAAAATACAAAAATTAGCTGAGCATAATGGTAGGCACCTGTAGTCCCAGCTACTTGGGAGGCTGAGTCAGGAGAATTGCTTGAACCCAGGAAGTGGAGGTTGCAGTGAGCCAAGATATTGTCACTGCACTCCAGCCTGGGCAAGAGAGAGAGATTCTATCTCAAAAACAAACAAACCACCAAATTGGATTAGGTTCTCTCTTGGCTTAACACCTTCCAAAGACTTCCCATCCCACTTGAAAACAGATCCAAAGTATCCACGAAGCTCTGGAAGGCTCTCTGTGGTCTGGCTCCAGCCCACCCCTCAGATGCCATCTCAGGCCACTCCGTCACTCACTATGATCAAGCCACAGTAGCTTCTTTCTCTGCCTCTGGACATGAAGCTGCCCCTACCTCGGGACATTTGTAGCTACTGTTCCTTCTGCTTGGAATCTGCTTCCTCCAGACTTTCCATGTTCCTCTCAATTCAGCCGCCACCTCTCCAGAGGGGCCTTCCCAACTCCCCACCCACTCGGTGTCTGCAGCTGCACACCTGAGCATGCTGGAGAGAAAGCTCCCAATCACGTGTGACCATGGCCTCAGGCTGCCTGTGCCACCAGTACAGCTCCCTCGGTCACCCGCTGCCTGCCCTGCTAGGTGAGTACTGGGTCTCTTCCTCTGTGCATCCCAACGCCTCCTCCCTATCCTCATGCTCAGCTGTCCACATGCCCACCAGTGACAATGGCCTGCCCGTGCCCCAGTGGCTGTCCCTCCCTTCTGTCCTTCATTCTCTCCACTCAGAGGCACCTCTCTAGCAGGTCCCTTCTGTCCTGCATCATCCTTTTTCTCTTTCCTTGATCATTCTACTTCATTATTTCTCCCATTAAAAAAAAAAACAACCCTCTGTTGACCTCATAACCACTTCTGGATATAGTCCATTTCTCCGGTCCCCTTACAACAAAATGCTGTGGAAGGGCTGGGTGCGATGGGCTCACACCTGTAATTCCAGTACTTTGTCTTTTATTTTTTAATTTTTATTTTTATATTAAAAAATATAGGCCGGGCGCGGTGGCTCAAGCTTGTAATCCCAGCACTTTGGGAGGCCGAGGCGGGTGGATCACGAGGTCAAGAGATCGAGACCAT